AAAAAATCACAGAAGTTTATTCTTGAAGATACATGTACCGGTATAACGTTTGTCACGTGGACACTTTGTTTCTTAAATGTGAAAATTAAATTCTAAACACAATTGAAATTACCTGCAATGTTTAAATACACTTTTTAGTTTACTTTTAGAAACTTTCATTATCTCATAAAACAATTCCAGTGTACAATGTACATGTAGATGCATGTACCGTACAGTAACACTGAAATTTATTTCCAGAAAAATATGTAGCGTTTGTCACTGAACAGACATCACGTTTGTCACATGGATAATGTATATCACATGGACAGACATTTTTCTGGCATTTGAATTAGAGCATGAAAACACAATTGTTCACAAACCAAACATGTCTGTTTTCAGTTTTCAAAATCATTTTTGTTAAAAAGACTATTAAACTTCAGCTAAAATGAACACTGTAAGTTTTTCTTAATGAGTAACGTTTGTCACATGGACAGGCCTAACATTTGTTACACATGTAACCTGGGGACAGTCTTCTCACTTTCATTTCAGCAAAATGAACTGACTTTTTCCTATGAACTGTACCTTATTTTATTTAATTTGGTATTGTATTAAATGTACGGCATATACTCATAAGATACAGATTTTTACATTTAGAGGGAAAAAATGGTTGTGACAAACGTCACAAAATAGTGCACTTGATGCAGTTCCTAAAATCAAATCCAAGTTTTTTCATCTGATAGAAAAAATCACAAATATAATGTAAACTACATGTATGATTGTATAAACTTTTCTCAGGAAGAGTCATGTGTTTGTTCAGGTTATCTGCTCAAGGAATGGCAAACTCAACCTTTTTCATGTTTGTCACTCTGTGGACAAACACTGTGATGTACGTTATTCCTTAATTAGCTCTCCTTAAATTCCGGTTTAAGATAACTTAAAGAAATAAAAAGCCATAGATTTTGACACATGTCTCCAATGTTATACATGTACATGTACCTGTAGTACCCATGTTTTAACAGATTTTAAGAGTTGTATTTTAGATTACCTGAAAAACATGAGCTGACACAGTGACAGTTATATGCATGTCCCACCAGAACCCACAATAGGTATATAAGCTGGACATTTTCATCAAGATCCTGATTATTTTAACAAAGAACAACCAAATCCTATTAAACTGTGTAAACAAAATGTCCACAATTATACATGTACATATCCGTAAAATTGTCAAAGTTCATTTCTTGGCTCTCAACACTGTTAAAGAAAGAGATGAGTTTGGTTACGTGGAAATGTGTCCGTTAGTGCGGACAGACCCACCTACACTCATGTACATGTACATGTACATATCAGGGTTCTAGCCGTGGAGAGCGGCACCACCCGGTACTGCAAATTTCCGCCCGGCACTCAGGGATGAAATTGGCTGTGCCCTCACTATGCTTTGTAATCCAAAAATTTACCCAGCACTAAAATGGTCCTAGCTTGAACACTGGTACATATGTACATGTACATGTACATTTATGTTATCTTTGCCAGGAAAACTTCAAGAAAGATTTTGAATTTGGACGTTGAAGTATATTGTACGATAGAATTTAATCTCATTACAGCAAAACAGGGTTGGTGATTTTTGTTTTATTTATTTTAAAAGATCAAAAATCAGATTTTTAAACCAGATTGTTTTTATTAAAATCAGATTTTTAACATTTTTTTTATAAAAATTGGAGACAAGTTCAGAAGTTAGCTCAATAATCTATTCAGAGGCAAGAAAATTACATGTACATGTACATCTAGCTGTACCTGTATGTGTATTAATGCTCTTTTATTTATCTTGTTTATTACAAAATGAAACAAATTTGGATTCAAATTATCGGTACACGTCAGAAATTTAAATCAAGTAATTTAATTAAAATCACAAACCATCTTAAATATTGTATCACAGTAATGTATAGGCAGTGTACATTGTAGCACCTACCAGTACATGTATCCTCAGAGAAAACACATGTACAGATTCCTCCAGAGACAGGTACTGTACATCTACAGGCTAGGTACATACATGTACATGTTGAAAAATGGTCCTAAGTGCCCCAGAAAGTTGAGGGTTGCCACTTGAAAAATGGCTGCAATCAGACTTTGGAAAAAACACTTTTCGGGGGGGGGAGTGATTTTGTTTTGTGGAAATGATTCAAAATGTAATTGTCTAACCCATAAAAAAATTGAAAAGAAAGTAAAAGATTATGGACCATAAAATAATTTAGCGTGTGTTTCAGTTGCCTCAGGGATGTTGGTACACATGTTATTGGGTCTCGAACAATGCTGATTTACAATGTTTTCAATGGGGCCTGAATTAGTGAACTACATGTACACCCAACAAAACCATTTGTAAGGATGGGTGATATTCTACATGTATGTAGGTGGTACATGTAAATAAAAATAAAGTAAGTAAAGCTGTAACATAACGTCCGTAACAATTTATGTAACATCCGTAGCACTCGCTAGCCTATTTCTAATTATCATAATTAAAACATTCTTACTCTATAAGTTAACCCATGGCAAGTTGGCATTCCAGTACATGTACATGTAAATATGTGGGATGGTGAAAGTCAGTAAATTTGTTTTCAATGTAGCTAAAAAAAATGCATAAAATGTTACGGATGTTACACAGTTCAATATTAAAAATGGAACGGGAAGTTAATTATGCATATTGGAGTCACTGATGAGATATAATTTTTATTCTTTTTCCATTCATCTGAAGCTTCTTTTGTTATGCAGGGTGTCCCAGAAAAAACCAAACCCTGAGGAAAGGAGTTGATATGCCCAAACCATGAGATACATATATGATTATAATGTATAAGGATCTCCAAAAAGAAGAAGTAGTATTCTTTCTAATGATACCTTGATGGTATCCCTCCTGTCATGAATGAATGAACACCATTGTCTTGAAAACGGGGCATCCGAACTCAGTTGTAACACTTTGGATAAACCAGTGAATGAGTCTAGATACTGGTACATGTTGACATTGTACATTTACATGGAAATCCCACCAGAGTCAACTTGTCATGGATTTTCCCGAAGCTCCTAGAAGGTGCTGAGTCTGCAGTGCTGTAAATTCTGTCAGTGAACATGTACCCATAACCAAACACGCTGGTACATGTACAAAAAATTACATTTACACTGTGGGCTAATCAGTGTGCTGATGATTGGGAAGGAGAAAACTGTCAATACTACGGGAGGGGGTAATTCAGATGCCATTTTACGGAGCATGGACAGGTGCACTACATGTACATGATGCACTGATTCCGGTACATCCTTTTATGAAAATGCTACATGCATTTAAGTTTTGTGCCAGGCTGTAATAACTTGTTCGGCAGTTGTCTTTCTTATTGTAAGGACAAGTTACATGTTCATGATGTACTCACACACTGTGAAATTGCAAAAGGTATGGTTGGGTGAGTGTTGACGTTTTCCCTTATCTGCTGGGCCCAACCTAATGAGATTCAGTTACAATTTACAAGACCAGAACTGATACATGTATGTCATCTTTAATCTCCAGTACACCAATGATGCTGCCTTCATATCTCTCTCCATAGTTGGCTTACGGCAGGTTATTTCAACCATGGCTGATGCACATACATGTAGTTGTGCAGGGTTGATCATCAACTCCTGTAAGATGGAGATTCTCTGCCAGCATTCAGGACATGGCAATTCGACCTGATGTATATTAGGTGACGTCCCCTTCAGTATTGGAAGTGCAAACCTGCACTAGGCTGACCAATTTACTTAGTGTACATGTACCTTGGAAGCATTCTCTCTTCATCCTGCACCCTTGAGGATGAGATCAGCTTTTAGCGTCAATCTGCGCACTTCCGCATTTGAAAAAGAGGCTGTATGTGTCAGCTTCAAATCCTAATACGATCAGATGATTGAAAGTAAGGAGTCAAGACACAAAATACATAAAGGTAGGTTAAATTT